TTCAAAACCGGATCGCGCAGTGCTATTGCTAACTACAGACCAATTAATTTGACATCCGTGCTGTCAAGAACTATGGAAAAAATAGTCCACAAACAGTTATTATCATTTTTGCTTTCGGCTAATCTGATCAGCCCATCCCAACACGGGTTTATGACCAAACGCTCCTGCTTCACATCGCATCTGGAATTTTTTGATCAAATTACCCAGAGAAGAGATGTTGGTCAGTCTGTGATAATTTTGTACTTCGACTTTAGTAAGGCCTTCGACAGCGTCCCACACAAGCTTCTTCTTCTAAAACTCTCTTCATATGGAATACGGAATCCCCTTTTATCTTGGCTCAAGTCATTTTTAGAAGAACGTAGCCAAATTGTCCGCTTTGGATCCTGCTACTCCAAACCTGTGAATGTAACCAGTGGGGTTATACAAGGAAGTGTAATTGGTCCATTACTATTTCTCCTTTTTATCAACGACGTTTGTTCCCTCTTTCAATATGGTAAACCTTTTCTTTTTGCCGATGATCTAAAAGTGGTTTATTCATTCTCATCTCCCACAGAAGAAAGCTATATTTCAACGGTAATCCAAGAAGAAATAAACAGGTTGTACGAATGGACTATTTCGTGGAATTTGCCACTTAATGTTGACAAAAGTGGATTTATTAACATTGGCCGTTGCCTTAACTTAAATCTGGCTATACACAAATATACACTGAAACCTCTCAACACTGTTCGTGACTTGGGTTTAAGATACAGCGACAGTTTGAACTTTTCGGAACACATTGCATCTCAAGTATCCAAAGCTAGAAAGCTCATCGGATTCATAATGATTAATTTCAATAATACCGAATCGAGATTATTATTATACAGAAAATGTATCTTACCAATTCTTGAATATGGTATTTTAGTTTACAGTAACTGCAGGCATAATGACCTGATTAAAATTGAAGGTGTTCAAAGAAGGTTCACCAAAGCTGTTTTGGGGTATTCTGACAACAAAGACTATCACCAAAGATGTCAACAACTCAAACTAGAACCTCTCTGGATCAGGCGTATCAAACTAAACCTTATTTTTCTCTACCGGCTTCTTAACGGTATTTCTTACTCTTCGCTATCTACCCCATCATACTCTATGATACCGTCCCACAATCTACGCAATAAGGAAAATATTATAGCGATTCCAAAAACCCAAACAAATTTACGCCAGAATTTTTTCGTTATTCGCTACTCAACCATCTGGAATAGACTACCAATGAACCTCCGATGCAGTGAAACTATAATCCGGTTCCGAAGTCTTCTTGATGACTTTCTTTCCGAAAGTGGATTGTGTCACCTTTTGAATATTAACGTGCTTAACAACGATTTATACAAAAATGGTCCGTCATCTATCTAACTGACTGAAAAGCAAAGTAAAACCTTTGAAACTTTTCACGTCTATTTCACTTTATTTTATATTTATCTGAATATACAAAGTCTGCTTATATTTGCATTTATAATTATTACTGTTATTAATATCATTATTGGTCATTCGACACATTAGATATTCATTTCATCTCTTCTTGTCCTTCTAAACATATTTTATCCGAAGTCTACAATTAAAAACAAAAAACTTCTATGTTCCACTTAAACAAATAATTTTTTTTTTCAAAATATTCACAACATATAACATATAGAAATTTATATTTAAATTATCCTTTGTAATTAACTATGACTATGATAGCATCATTCTAAATTATTATTATTGCACCAATGTTTATACTAATACCCGGTTTCACTCTGTATACTGTTACATAAATCTACACGTATTTATCCGTAAGGGTTTATTATTGTTATTATTATTTTTAAATTATTCGTTTATCTCAAAAGTCTATATCCATTACACTATTATGATCATGGTTGAACCTTTTCACTATGTGTTCATTTCTTTTCTCTCTCTCGCTCTCTTTTTTCCTTCTAAATAAATATTATTCTTAAGATTAAGAAGCTTTGGATTGAGACAATAACTTGTGTTACATTGAATTCAACTTATCACACTCGTTTTATCTTCACTATGTATATACACCTCATAAATATTGATTATCTTTTGCACTTAATTGAGACTTTCATAGCATCACCCAAAACTATGACTGTGCTTGCACAAACACTTATTCTAACGTCATATCTTAAGGCAATAATAAGTTATTTACTTATTAATTTATTCTGTTTTATTTCATTTTTATTACTCGTTTTTGCTATACATACATAGTTGTTTATTCTTGTTCTGCGTTAAGATATTTGCGTCTCCCGCGTCTCCTTTATTTCTATTTCCTTAGTTTCTTCCTTTCCTCCTTCAAAATCAATTCAAAATTCTTGCTAATTACACAGAACCTCATTTATTATTACTATTCTATTATTAATATTTTATTTTCCTTTTCCTTCCTTTCTCAAACGTGGCATATGTATTGTTAACATTACTGAAAATTGTGTATTATTGCATTTTTGAAGAAACCCGAAATGGTTTCTTCACAGCACTTATGTACCCATAAAGTGTTTGTGAATAATAATAATAATAATAATAATAATAACTGATCGACAACGGTTAGACCAACTCCTTAACAATATCGACTTGCAACATGGTTCTGCGACGGACATGTTGCTTAGAATGAGAGAAGTCATCGGCCAACGAACTTTCGATGATGGCCTATTTAGACAACTTTTCTTGTCTAAACTCCCTCAACAGGTGCAGGCAGTGCTTGTTTCATTTCAAAACAATGCCATAGATGAACTAGCTGCATCTGCCGATCGAATCTTGGAAATCACTAGATCTTCTAAGGCCGAGGTTTTTTCCGTCAAAGAAAAACCCCAATCGACCTCGACTGACATGGCCGAACTATGTCACACGCTTACACGATATCTTAGAGTTCGCAATGACCGTAGTCGGTCAAAAACCCCGCGTAGAAGTGCCTCACGTAAGCGATCTGGCTCTCGACCACGAGAGACAGACAATCCCGACTGGTGCTGGTATCATAACCAGTACGGTAAGTTTTCCAGAAACTGCAGGAAACCTTGCAATTATCCGACCCCCAAATCGAGTGACACGAAAAACAGTTCGGGAAACTTCCCAGCCGGCACGCGTTAACGGCAACCGTAGCCGGCGAACACAGCCGCCTCTTATATGTCACGGATGTGACTACGAAAGTTCGCTACCTCGTCGACACTGGCGCAGAAGTTAGCGTTCTTCCAGCAAATCTCGACGACAGACTTCGCGAGTCTGTTTTAAGTTTACAGGCGGCAAACGGAAAGCCGATCGCTACTTACGGTAAAAGGTACGTCTACCTTAACGTGGGTTTACGTAAACCCATACACTGGATTTTCGTGGTTGCAGATGTCTCTATGCCAATCATTGGTATTGACCTGTTACAACACCACAATCTACTCATCGACACACGCTCACGAAGGTTAATAGACGGAAACACTAAGTTGTCCGTTTGCGTAACTCCTTGTTCTGGTTGCAGGTTATCCCCAGTCACGATTAAGCACGCCATAGACCCCTTGTACCAAGCAGTACTCGACAAATACCCCGGGATATACCAATCGCAATCGAAATTACCTTGTGTAACCAGCAATGTTACACATCACATCTCGACTACAGGACCACCTGTATTTTCGAAAGCCCGAAGACTCGCTCCCGAAAAGCTTAGGTTAGCTAAAAACGAATTCAACCACATGATGGACCTAGGAATAATTCGACCATCGAATAGTCCATGGGCATCCCCATTGCATATGGTCCCTAAAAAGGACAGCAATGATTGGCGGCCAACTGGTGATTATCGGCGTCTGAATGCTAAAACCATTCCCGATCGTTACCCGCTGCCTCATATTCACGATTTGATAGCTACCTTGAAAGGTACAACTGTCTTTTCGAAAATCGACTTGGTTAAAGCTTATAACCAAATCCCGATGGCACCTGACGACATTCCTAAAACCGCCATCATCACTCCCTTCGGTCTTTACGAATTTCTACGAATGCCTTTTGGTTTAAGAAACGCGGCTCAAACCTTCCAAAGGTTTATAGACGACGTCTTCCGAGGTCTCAACTTCGTACATGCGTATGTTGATGACTGTCTAATAGCAAGTCCGGACAGAGAATCGCATCTCAAGCATCTGGACATTGTTTTCGATCGACTTCAAAGGCATGGCATTACTGTCAACATTCAGAAATGCCAAATCGGAACTAACTGCTTAGACTTCTTAGGACACACCATTGATGCCCAAGGCATCCGACCCCTTAGGAGCAAAGTGGCGGCCATTCTGGATTACCCAGAACCGACCACGATCAAGCAGTTGCGAACTTTTAACGGACTCGTAAGTTTCTATAGACGGTTCATACCTAAATGCGCATCCCTAATGAAACCGTTGACCGATCAGCTTCGTGGAAATGCGAAATCAATTAGTTTAGACGACACAGCCCGTAAAGCATTTTCCACAGTTAAGGAACACATCGCTAAAGCAACCTTGCTTGCTCATCAGGACAGTCAAGCGCCCATTAGTATCGCCGTAGACGCATCCGACTCAGCAATCGGAGCAGTCTTACAACAATGGGTTAACAACTCGTGGCAACCTTTAGGATTTTTCTCGAGACGGTTGCTAGACGCTGAATCTAGGTACAGCACGTTCAGTAGGGAACTCCTAGCTATGTATTGTGCTGTACGGCATTTTCAACATTCCATCGAAGGAAGAGAATTCACGCTTTTTACCGATCACAAACCTCTTACCTTCTCTTTAAATTCATCTTCAGACAAGTACTCACCGCGAGAGTCTCGACAACTCGACTACATTTCGCAGTTTACTTCAGACATACAACATATTTCTGGAGCAAACAATGTAGTCGCAGACGCCTTGTCTCGAATTAGCTCCTTGAACAGTTCCCAAGGAATCGACCTTCTTAAACTCGCTCAGCTTCAAAAAGAAGACATTGATCTTCAGCATGAGTTATCCTCGACAACTCTTAAACTAAGTATTAGGCAGATGGGAACAGGTAAGGAAACCTTACTCTGTGACACATCTACAGGTAGGGATCGTCCGATTGTACCAAAACACTATCGCCGCAACGTCTTCAATACGTTGCACAATCTTTCTCATCCAGGTGCTCGTGCAACAATCGAACTTATAGCCGAACGCTTTTGTTGGCCTGGCATGAATAAAGACGTGAGGGAGTGGTCACGCTCCTGTGTAAGCTGTCAGAAATCTAAGGTAATCAGACACAACAAATGTCCCTTAGGTTCTTTCAAAACCCCTGACGCTCGATTCGACCACGTCCATCTAGATTTGGTAGGACCCTTACCCGACTCGAACGGATACTCATATCTCCTAACATGCGTAGACCGTTTTACTCGATGGCCAGAAGCAGTACCGATTAAGGACATTACTGCTGAAACAGTGGCTCGCACTTTCGTCGAACGATGGGTAGCAAATTTCGGCTGCCCTTCAACCATCACTACAGACCGCGGACGCCAGTTCGAATCTGGACTTTTCCGTTGTCTGACCACACTTTTAGGAATCACGCGCTTCCGAACGACCGCCTACCACCCACAAGCAAACGGGTTGGTAGAACGTTTTCATCGACAATTAAAAGCTTCATTATCAGCTTCAAACGTTTCACAGTGGACAGACGCTCTTCCACTCGTCTTGCTAGGTATCCGCAATGCAGTGAAAGCTGACATTGGATACACGGCATCTCAACTCGTTTACGGAACGACACTCCGACTCCCAGGAGAATTCGTGGATCCTTCAGCTTCTTCATTGAACATGGATCTAAACTCTTACACGAGTAGGCTTACAAACGCCATGCGTTCAGTTAAACCTGCTCACACTCGACCTCAATCAACTGATGTTTTCGTTCAACCCGAACTACGACATAGTACACACGTCTTCGTTCGTCGAGACTCACATCGACGACCCCTCGAATCAGCATACGAAGGACCCTTCAAAGTTCTTCAACGCGAACCTAAGTACTATGTAGTCGACAAGAACGGTACGAAAGATAGCATCAGTATCGATCGACTCAAAGCAGCGTACTTAGAAGGAAACCCTAGCTACGTCGATTTTCCTTCGGTACAAGCAAACGACACAGCTACTACACTCGTAGTACCCTACACGACAACCGACACACAACTTGATACTTCGTCAACGTCGATAGAAAAACCTAAAACAACGCGTTCTGGAAGACGAGTAAGATTTCCAGAACATCTTAACGAATATTGCACGTAGGACATAAGCTTTATCTTGAATTAGCCTTTCAAAGTTTATTATAAATTTTTTTAATATGCTCATTTTTTTATTTATGTAAAAAAAACAAACAAAAAAAAACAACATTTTTTTTTGAGCGTATATAGATATATATTTATATATTTAAAAAAAAAACAAAAGAAAACCTTTTTCCGATCGCTTTTACGCTGTTTGTAAGTGTATCAGTTTATTTTTTTTCCGCTCATCTTGTGTCCTTACGCAAGTACGAGTGTATTTTTGACATGCACTGACACGTTTTATTTTTCCTCTTTTCCAGGACGGCTGGAAAAGAACGACGAAGTTTCGCAAGGAACAGAAATTTTCATTGTACTATATTTCTTTATTGCTACGTTGTACATTTTGGTCCCATAGTTTAAGGAAAGACGACCAGACGCTGCTAAACGAAGCAAGCTATCAGAAGAGTGTTTACCAACGACAAATTCGTTGGGTTTAAACTTCTGGCTGGTCACGTCTTAGGGGCATCACTACCTCACTAGGGGGGGAGTGATCTGTAGCTGTAAATAATTCCCCAAAATCAATAGCTCATTAAGTGTTCGACATTGGATGCTGACCACGTTGTTTAAGTGGACTTGTTTAGCTGAAGGCTTTCGGTCATGCATCCGCACCAGATCACGTTTCAATACTGCGTGGGACACAGCTCCTACGTTTCATTAGCCAGCTCATAGAAAAGGTCCGCGATATATTGGTAACGAATCAAATATATCTTTCCTGCCTCTTCTCGTTTGACTTCTGATTTTCTATCTGACTGGAAACAACCGAATTTAGAAGGTGCTACTGGTATCTAGTTGTAAAACTAGAATATCCGTTGCATCATCACCTCATTGTCATATCAAAGAACCAGAAGTGACTTGATTACAGTTTTCAAATTACTTAGGGATTAATTAGCAGCTGATATGCCATCATTTTTCTCGTCTTCCAAAACAGAGAATTCACAAAGACATTGCAAAAGTTCACAAGCCCAGGACAGATGACTTCTCAGCTGACTATCCACTTTTCCATTGAATCGTCGAGTGGAATTCATTACCTGAACACATGATTGAAGCTCCATATGTCGGCTCTTTCAAAATAAGGCTAGATCAACTAAGAGACCATTACTTTCAGGACTAGCACAGGTCACCTGACCTCTTGTTCTTCCAAAACTGAAACTGCAGATGCTTGACCGGTGAGTACTTTGGCATCAACCTAAGTGAAGCGGTTGCTTAATATCTCTAGAAAGTAGACTGAGTCAAAAAAGAGTGTACCATTTTTCCTCCATCTATTTGAGAGTTCTTGAATTAGAATTATTTTTGAGACCATAATATTGGGTATTGAATGGATGTCTTTTAACTAACTCCCTAGGCTCACTTTCGTTTCCATATTTGTTGGGGTTAGTTTGCCTTTTGTTGTTTAAGGACAGAAAATTAACCTAGATTTGCTTAACGGGTAGTTCATGCAACGCTGTGTTTATCTTCTTTAACGTTTTGTGTATTTTACTCTGTCAGCCACTACTGAACAATATAGGCCGATCTACTGTTAACAGACGTATTATTGCCCTTTGTAAATTCTAAAACAACTTGTAATTAGATGTAACATAGAACTTGTAGTGTATTTGACTCGTAACGCTAATGATGTGGAAGTATTTCTCAGTAGTCTTCATAAGCTGACAATCCTAATCGCTTCTAATGTCTAAGTATCCTTACACAACCTGAAGACTGGTGAACCCGTGATTCTTTTAAAAAATGCTAATATATTGTGTTAAAGTTACGTCCGTAAATAACTTTGAAGATTTGCTCTTAATTGTATTTCTGTTAATTATAATGCTTGTATGGAAACATTCTGCTCATTTTATGTTTTGTAAAACTTAAAAGCAACTTGAAATTAGCAAGTATTCAAAAAGTTTTCTGAGTAGGCATGTTAATCGACAATTCGCTTGCCTCAAGAGCGTACATGGTTGTGGGTAATTAGGTAGGTCATACTACCATCTACATTAAGGTTGATGATGCACATTTTCCCAGCTGGATTCTCGACGCATTTGTGTCTCGTGTTCCTAGTAAACCGTGTAGATTGACATTAGGAACGTTTCACTGTATTGCAGCAGTTGCTCGGTCACTTAGAGGAAGCCTGTCATCCTCATTATTCTTCAATGGTGATGGAATCCTGTCGGTCGTAATTTCACTCAACACCAAAACAGTACTCACACATCTCTAATGGAATTTCCTTAGGAGCGAATAGTAAAACTTCTATCAGGTTGTGGGTGATACCAGTGGACAAATTGACGGGAAATAAAAGTCCAATTTTGTTAAACTTACTGAATTTATTTTACCTCAAGCTAATTGCTCCCAATCAGTTCTAGTAAGCATTCTGCTCACCAATGTCCGATATTTAAACCCTATCGATGGTCTCAATCAAGAGCTGAGGGACAGGTTCGTGTCTCAATAGAAGTTATAAGGCCAGCAGATACAAGTGAAAGCTATACTGGGGTCATCATAGATGCAAAAAGCATCTTTGCCTGCTACATGATGTCGGTACGGTTAAAAATACAAGGAACAAGGTGGTTATGGAAAACTAATGTTTACTAAGACACTCCAAAGGGGTGGGTTTGTAGGGTAGTCTCTGTTCGGATAATATTGGGTTATAAACTATCACACGACCTTTCGGATAACAGGTCTGTCACAACCTTAGAGTTGGGGTATTTGAATAGGCTTGAAAAGAGCCATACACGAGGTAAAAAGGCTGCGAAATGTACAGATGTCTTTCAAGATATTATCATTAGATGAAACTGATCCCTTTAAGGTTGGAAATGCCTTAGTTGTCGAACAAATACTTTTGCGAAAGACAGAACTTGGAGTAACCACATCAAAATAATTTGCCCCTCCATAGCTTAAATAATGTTTTTATTTTAGCCAGTTGTGACGTACTAGAAGTGCATTAGTTTATAGACCACATCTGTTGGATTCATAAATTCTTTATCATAGCATGTCAGTTACTATAGTGACGAATAGTAAACTTTTAGACCTGTGGTTAACTACAGTATGACTAAATATGTTAAGAGTTAGGTATAGCGCTGCTTATAGTGGTCGTGATTATTAACGTTACTTAAAGCACTGGATGTTAAGATAAAATCCTTCAGGGCTATGTACTGATCAAACGTAAACCCATCGGAGCCATACTACTTTATATTGTACAAGAAGTTATACTTTGCGACATCTGGCTTCACTTTTAACCTGATCTAAGCGAATGTATAGATTCGTGTTTATACTCTTACTACTTCTACCACTATGGGATTTGAATCGACAACTATATCTCTGTGTTAATGTGGTATGGCAACTCGAACTGATGTACGTATGTACGAAGTCCTACGTTGTGACTGACTGAATGTGTGGGAGCCACATTTTATTTTATGAACTACCTGGTGATTATGCTAATTATTAAGTGTTTGTACTGAGGTAAAGAATAACATATTTCCTAGTAAGTACGTTTAAGTAGTCTTGGCAAAGTCTGAAGAATTCATGTATGATGGTTTCGTATTAACGACTGAAATGCATCGGATAAAACCAAATATTTTGTTCTACAGTGTTCAGCTTTAATGCAGCTTGTTTATTACTTTTCATGAACTACATTTTGAGTTACCATATAAAGTGGTTGCTGACCCATTGAATTAAATTTAGAATTCCTGGATCGTACCCATACTTCTCACACTGCAATTTAGTTCATTTACAAACTTCATGCTCAACTTTCATCCTATGTCTTTTGTGATCATGGCTTTCTATCATTTTTTTTGTGTTCATTTCCAATTATTCTTTTTTTAGACAACGTTCTAAGATGAACAACTATACTGGACAATATGGATACATGTTTCCGATGCAACCAAACTATGCTTGGGGTACGAATCCATTTCATCCGTTGTTTTATTGCCATTTGTCCAAAAACTTTGTTGGCATAAAAATGGTACAACGCGGTAACCAAGTGAAGCATCATATACTGGGCATTGAGCCAGACTTCTATACTCAAGCTTGTTGCTTGGCTTATTCACCTGAAGTGAATGAAGCAGGTTTCCGATGTGTGGTTAAATGACTCGAAAACCAAGTCCTTCAAGTACAAAACCACCACTTATGTATTAAGGCTTAGATGAACCCGTCATTTTCAGTTACCGGATCCCCATATAGTTTTCAAAAGCCGAGTCCCCAGACTGAATCAAGATTTCAGCCCACAAACATATTGGCTATTAGTCTCAGTAGTGTAGTGAAATTCAGATTGAATTAAGGGATTTCATTTGATTCGATCTATCACATTTATCATGGTTTTATTTATGACTTATTTCATTTCTCCCTTTGCTACTGTTTTTGTTTATTCTAACATCATTCTTGTCTTTTGTTGCTGCAAATTGTGGCGACTTAAATGAATATACTTATTGAAAGCTATACAATAGTGTTTCTATACGTCGAAAAAATTCCCGAATATTCAATTCCAAGTACCAAATAGGTGTAATAAACCCTTTTCATAGATGTGTGTTGTAACTGAAGTTTATTATGCCCCTAATTAGATTAACTCCACGAAGGCTGATTGACAAGGCTTCTTTAGTCTACCTATTGTAACTTACAGTGCTACATTCAGTGCTCCAAACTTTCCCACTTATGGATAGAAAAAAGACATCTGTTATTTGCATATCGTTCGAATTCTCTAGAGAAAAGGTAGTTCGTACGATGAAATTTAAGTAATTACTGGTTCAATACGGGTTCTTGTGATACAATAAAAACAAATACTGCTTTATCGATAATAAGGGATCAGGGAAGTTGTAGAAGCTATCTACGTCTTTTAGATTCTCACTCATGAATTGTACCTATTAACGTTCTGGTGATTCTCTGGAATAAAATATAGATAGAATGTAGTTAACAAATCCTTAATATATCATTCAGTGGTGTATTTTTCTTACTGACTTGTCGCTTCTAGACCAGTTTTAGTAAAGTTGAACACAAATTAATTTAATTTGTCCCGATGCTATTACCTTTGCCAGTCATTGCTAGTAACTAAGACAACACTTTTCAATCTATTCTTATAAAAGCTGTTTTCGCGCTGTCTAATCCAGGGATGGAAGAAATTATCGTGCACATTGACTACATTTGATAAATTTGTAAACCTTTATGGAAGGAAATGGTCAGAGCATAAATTATTTATGCTTAACTACTGTTTACCCTAATGTAAGAGTAATTTGGGGAAAAATGACGAACAAAGCTGGGAGCTCCCTTAACCTATGGAACTGTCAGCTGTCGACTTCAGCTATATACATAGATATCCTTACAATGGGTTTTCGAGGTTACTGTAGGCAGTTCCACGTACATTCACTTTTGTCCAAGATTTCGACATCATACTCTACATTCTACTCATTCTTTCCACCTGTTTAGTTTACTTTGTCAAGCTTTTTTACTACCTTCAGTAGAGTTGAGTGGTAGCTAAATCGGACTTCAAGACAAAATTGGTTTTGCTTGCAGCTCATCACTTGATTGTACCCACATCTCAATATAGATGTTTACGCTGGGACTCTCCGCTCCAAACACCATCTCGTTATCCTGTGAGCTATTGAGTCTAGGTACCCAATGGCTTGTGAACAACACTAAGGTGCAGGCACATTCAGCCAATGAGTTTTAAATGAGACGAAGTACTTGTCCTGGACCCCACTTCTGACCATCATCCAACTTTACTAGAAGTACTTGTGGTTACATGACGATATCTAGGCTGTCCACACAGGATGTACATATTCCAACAGAAACTGTTCTATTGTAACCCGTAGCATCAACAACGGGAATAACTCAGGCGTACAAATGAAATACTACCACTGTTGTCACTATTTTCCTGTTTTTGTTCCGACAACTTATGTGTCAAACCCCAACTTGTGACTGTCTACGTCTTAGCTCTTATTTCTTAGATCGATCAAATAATTGCTTACAGTACAGTAGGTTGAAGTCAACGAAACCTCTGTTGTGATGACTACCCTTAAGCGGTCAGTCATTAGGCATCATATCATACTAGTATTTGATTAGTTCTGGTGTTAAGTGACATTTAGTTCACCTTGTATAGCTTAACTAGCTGTTGTTTTTGTTTGGACTGTCAGTACAGTTCTAAGTGGAGTGGTTAACATATACAAACCTGATGACCGTATTACCGGTAGGTATCGACAGCATCTCCAAACTTTGTCCTTTCCGTACTTGTGATTTGTAAAAACTATTTTTTTTAGGTCCGAACCAAGCGCACACACCTGTTCAAGAGCCACAATATACCTATGGTTATGACTCGAATAACCATCAGCCCCCTCCGTACACTGACTATATGGGACCTCAGGTAAGATGTATAAACAGTTAAATTCAATAAATGTATGATCGTTAAATATGGTTGTGAGTTATTTCGCGTTCCCAGCAACCGTTGTAATGTAAAATAATACGTCAAACTAAAGAGACGGGCACCTCGAAAATCATACTTATATGTTTTGAAAACAAATAGGTTTAGATTTATAAATAATTTTGCTGCAGATAAGTCGTGGTTTATCCCTATTCCCATATATTACACGATTTACAATATATATTCAATCCTATCGACTTTTCTCAGCTGCCATATCTAGTCGGTTATTTGGTGCATTGAGGGTAAAATTAATTCTGTTACGGCTTACGACCATACTTTTAGCACGACTGTTTTCTTTGTGCATCGTAAGTGAATTCAATGTTCGTATCTCTTAATGGATGGAGCAACAATTTTGAACGTACGTTCAAAACCGGGTATGAGTTATAAAATATACAGTATGCTATAGTCACAAGACTGGTTGAGTCTTAGGAAAATTGTATAATCGCAGTTGTTCATGCACTTAATCTCGTGACATAAATGCAACCAGTCCAAATTTGCGATAGAAACGTTTGGAAGCCAAGTTGTTACACATTAATATACAATTTTCATAATATTCAACATTTGTTTAAGATTTCTGTCTATAGTTCATAGCTCATCCTTTGTACGTAAAGTGAAGCATGAATTTGGGGTTCATTGTCCTCAGTTTAATCTTCACTATTTAAGTTTCATTTAATACAAGTACCTTACTTCACGAAACTATGGAAAAGTTTGCCAGACATGAATCCCGACCGAATAACTATTTCTTAAAAAGCAAAATCCACGTTTTAAGTCTTTTCCAAATCGCTGACGCTATTATATGCACACGGAGGTTGTAGTTTTTTCAGTTTGCATATACTGTCTGAAATGATCGAAAGGCAAAATCGGACTTACCGAGAAAACATATTACAGTTGAAAAAACGTATTAATGAATAGAAAGGCTGTATATATTTAAGTATATTTGTCAGTCACTGCAAAAATTTATAAAATAAAGTCCTAATATTTCATCAGGTAGTCTTTCCATGTTTACTCAATTAAAAGCAAAATTTTAAATGAGAATTTCAAATAAATCCCAATTTTACTGAACTTTTTTGTTAGGCACAAGATTATGAATCGCCCGTAAATGATTTTAATGGTCAGTATGGATGTTCCACAAATTCCACACCTACCCAACCTGGCTATAGTGCTCAATGGGGTAAGTTGTCTCTATTTTCTTTCATACCCCAAATTCTTCGTGGAATTTTTCAAACTTTTTCTCCGATATGTTACGTGGTCGACTAGACATCATATATTTGTTTAGTTTTAAGGTTTTTCAACTAACGTAAGCGTAAATCTTTCCTCCTTGAAGCTAACCACATTGTTTAATATTCAGTCTCATCTTTTCGTATTTAGAAGCAGTGAATACAACTCTTTAAGGAAATATCGCCTACTAGATGTGACTACGTCCTCAGTTATGCGAAAATATTGTTAACATCTGTAAAAGCCGCGATCAAAAAAAATTCAATACTGTGTTGTATGAGCTTTCACCATTGATCTTTTTTATATGGTTATTCTATGAGGTAGTTTATGTCTAACATTTCATCAACACATAATTCACCTGTCGTAGCTCACCATAAGAATGTTATTTTAAACATGAGGACTTTTCTCTATAAATAAAGCTAATATTTGCCCCTCTCCCCTTGTGGAATACAGTGAAAGATAATCTCATGTACGCTGTGATTGATACTATTTTGTACATCGATTCCAGTTAGACTTTTGTTCAAACAAACAGCATAAACCTCCTTACAAACTACCGTATTCAATAAATTTCTTTAGAAGTTCTAACATGGATTGATGCGATTATCATTCAGTTTTACTAAATGTTGGAATACTAATTCTTACCAGCTCTTCATATTTCCGTCGCATATATTTGAAAAACTGTGCTTATTAGTGACACGCTTCGGGAGGGGATTTCCAGAGTTCTAGTAAGAAACCGTGATCACTGGAGTTCAACCGTGTTGAATGTAAGGCAGTTACTCATCAAATATATTGGAATGCAGTCGTGCAATATCGTGGATTGAATGAGTTAGGCTTGTGTACCATTGTATGCCTTGTCACTGGTATGGAGTTCAAGGGTTTGCGTACGAGACCGAATTTTCTAGGTTCACTCTTGTGTAGTGGGATCGTGAATGCTCACTGCGTGGTCCCATACTAGGGCGAAACTTCTATACAATACTTCCAAGTTCTCACTGATTATCTAACTTCGGCCAGTTAGTGACCTCAAAATTGATAAATATTTGGGAAGTATGTCACATTGTTAAGTAATTTATGGTTAGTTGCTTCAGACGTAAACTTATCAGAGATTTATTGTGTACCATAAGTGGTATTCAGTAAGTTACCTGTTTATTCTGTTTTAATGTGTCTAATTTTCTCTACATTCTTATACTGTAAGTTTTACAAACTGTTCATTTTATGAGTCATTTACCTTCACTCTAATTTTTTGCATCTCATACAATCTAATTTTATTTTTTATTTTCAGGTGGGAGTCAATTTCAAACTCCATCACACGATTCAAGTTATTGGTATCATTCTCGTGAGCCACCAACTAATAGTCAACCACGATATCAACCTCCTCCGTCTACACCTATACTTGAACAAGTAATTCCCGATTTATTGATTAACACTTATTATTTAATAATCTCTAAAGTCACTTATATTTATATTTCAATTATATAAATTTTTGATTTATGTGTTTTATCAAGGAATAGAAATGATTTATTGTATTGTGTTAGTGTGGTGGACTCTGCTCGCAAGATTTTTTGTAAGTAGTATGTTGCGGAAAGCGGTCTCGAAGTTGTTATTGTCATCAGACGGAATGAAGAGTTTCAATGCATCGAAAGCATGACGTAGGTAGAACACTTGATGACCAGACGACGACACCGCGAAATGATCTAAAGTTGTATATCTTATGTAAACCCTTTGTAGTTTCTCTTAATAAACAATCCTTCTGCCCATTGTTGTGTTATACATTAGTAGTGTAAAGCTGTCAAGTTTTCTCAGGGCTATTTATTTATTAATATACGGAAACTTTTTTTATTTTAGTGATTTGAATGTTGTATTTTACCATTGTTTTGTTTTTACTCTTTCGGAATTATATTAACTCACAATGAATTGATGTCATGTAGTTGAGGAGAAAATGTTCAGTGTCCACTTGATGAAAGTTCTTGCGTCCTCAGCTAACTCTTAAGTTTGATAAATGTTAGCTAAATGGATATTTTGTAGGGAATTGTTGACTGATTGATTATAGCTGGTAGCTTGTATGAAACCTACTAAAATATACGTTTGAAGTGGGTGACTCGTTTAATTAACCTATTATACAAAAACCTCTGTATTTTAAAGATGTCACAGTTTGATCATATATGCTGATAGCATTTAGTTTTGAATTCCACAGGCTTCCCAGTTTAGTTTAGCCTTTATGGTATTATTTCATTATTGTTCACAAGGAACAAAGTCAGTCAACTTTCGGGATAAATATGTATATTATTACTGACTATATTTTTTAAATGAAAGCAGGATAGATGGATTTTCATTTGTACAGCTTAATCCTTCAAGGTTGTCTCGTTGTAATATCTGTTATCGAGCTGACATTGACAGGTGGCTATGTTTGCTTTTTTATGCTGCTTATTTTACATAAATTGAATCAGTAATCTGTTTTGTCAAACAGTTTTATTTAAAATTTCTTTTGATCACTTGTTTTGTTTCTCAGTGATCAAAGCAACTTGAATTTCAACCAATAAGCTCCAGGTTCAAATATTACTTCGGTTACTGTATTTGGATAAGCTAGTCGTAGTACCACTGACCCTCCATTTAGAATTACTAAATTAAGTACACATACTTTTACCTGTTAAATGAGTGGTTAAAATTTATTTCTCCTAAAGAGGTTTAACTACTTGTTTTCACTTTCTTTTTAGAATCGAAAACCTAAACTACGAATATACTGTAAATACTGTGATGTAGCATTCACGGATGAGAATACTTATTCCATACATTTGGATACTGAAAGACACATCCGTAATTTTAAACGTAGCTTTAATACAACTGAGGATAGAAGGGGTAAAGGAAAGTCTAGAAGTGACTATCGCAGAAATAATGTAAGTCATTTCATCTTATATTTATTCAGTTGTAAAGTTTACACATTTCATTTTCGTATGCTGGTTTGAACAATTAAGTAGTATCGATACCATCAAAACGTTTGTCTCCAAACCTAGCAGACGATTTTCACTTGGTTACAAAGGTTCACAAAACCAAAATTGGCTCAAATCGCCGCACTGCACACTGGATAAAACAATAACGTAAGAACTCCAAACAAATGAAAACAATAAAAAAATATCTATAATCAGTTATAGGCTATCGCTGGAAGTTTCTGGCGGTGAATTACTACGGTCTCACATCGAAATAAAAAATAAATCAGTCTGATATCTCCTTCCTGTTAGTAACTTTATAGGTAGCTCATCCCAATCATTTTTGTTTCTCGAGATTAAAATCCAATCCATGAATGCTAGTAACCTGTATATGTATCATTCTATGAGTACATATGTCCCTCAATCATAAATTAACAACAAAAATCAGTACAGTTTTATTCATAGATTTTAATAGTCATCTTTGCGAATCTAAACTATGCATCCATCATAAACTTAAATAATTATTATATTACCATGTCTAACTACTTCTATGTGTTATTTAAACGAGATGATGACTTCATGATTAATTCCTTTGGGATTTCGAATCAGTACCTCATGTGAATTGTATTACCAGTTAATTTACTCTACCACACTCTGTTAAGAATTAGTTTTATTACATTTTTAGAACAAAAACAGAAAACCTAATTTCTACTGTGAGGATTGCAAACGATCATTTCAAAGAAAAGAACAATACCGTGATCATATCACAGCAGAAGGACATATGAAAAAGTCTGATCGTAACAAAAATGAATCAGACGAAGGAGAATCTGTAAGTGTAATACATGTCACGAGCTTTTATGATGATTGTAATCTCATTTTCCATCTGTTGGTCTGTAACTTGCTTAACCGTTCATTGTTTTTTTTAAGTTTTGGCTTTCATTTACGTTCTACTAATTGGAGTTTTTACAGCTTGTTATTTGTCATTGCAATCACACTACAAGTGCTACTCAGATTTATTGATTTGAGTTACTAAATTGTGCGTCGTAAGTAGTTGCAATTTGTATGTCATTGGGAATTCATGGAGTCAATTTTAATTTCCAGAGTATTTTTCAACTTTTAAAATTAAACTGAAGTTTATGTTTCAGTGGTTTGTCTCTTCTGTTAATTCTAGACTACCTGAAGTTTGAATTTAGGAATTGGTTGCTTTCTAAAAGCATGTTGCAATATCTATTTCAGTTAATAGACTAGATGTAGACAGACTGTTGTTTTCGTAAAGAAGTTCTCATCCAACTTTATATAGGTTATCCGCTGTCTACGTTCTAACAAATTGTAGTCCAGTCTCATCTAAGGACTAGTTCTGTTGCTAAACGTATAACCCTAACCAACTCTATTGGTAAAATATTGTCTTGGCTGTTGATATGCTATAATCCTAACTACTTAATTACAGACTCGAATCATGCTCTCCCTACTTCAGTCTAGGCAATTTAGTGCTATCGCTAGCTCATATCGTGTATAATTCAAGACGGATTACATGAACCTATGCTTTGTAATTAAGTTTTCTAAAAAATATTTAAAGCGTTTCACAAACGTAGGGTAGTTAGAGACCTGGAGATGCTCCAACACCATAATAATCTCATCTTCTTACTCACTTTATGTAGTGATCATTAGATCTACGTGATTTACCACGTAATTGAGTAAAACATGTCAAAGACCGACTTCGTTCCGTTCATGTCGCGGCCAAATTTGTCATACCTTCACACTTTTTCGAATGCTTATTTTGTACTGTACTTGTGTTTTTGGACATCTGAGTTATCTTCAAAAAGGGGTTTTCCTCTGCAGTTATCCTTCAAAAACGGTTGTGTCTGGGAATATCATCAGTGAATTGAAATCCTTGTACAAAAGCGCTTAAGGTTTAATGATGATGTACAGTCACCTGTGTGACTTAACAAACTACTGAAGAGATTATTTAGTCGTACAATTTCTCTCTAATTTTGTCATCAATGATATTTTGATAAAGAGCTCCAGAAGAAATTGCTCTATGATAGTATAGACTTGTTATGTGATGGGAAAGTTATTCCCGAATATGTGAATAACATTTTCTTATTAGACAGTAATGTATGAGTTGTCTAAATCGTACTTAATCAGTTATCAGTTAGCGACCGTAGGTACAATATGTATTCAGCACCATCTTAGTTTAAAGTACTTATACAAGACTGGTGAGAGGCTATACATACTTTAAAATAAATCGTCGAAAGTAATTTAAAGGTCCACTTATCTGTTCCATGTTGTCTAATTGGAATCTGCCTTATTATGAAAGTCAAAGTAGTGGTGTATACTTGATCCATGTTACCTTTGGTTCCATTGCGATGCTGGTCGGTACACTACTTCAGTATGATGATTTTCATGGAACGTTTTTAGGCTTCAAAAAATGTCATTTCGTTCCGTTTAAAAATGTGACAAAAATCTTACATTATAAAGTGTGTTTGTCACATTTTGAGTCTTAAATTCTTATTAACTTCATTTCCAACTGACTAACCATTTTTTGATTGATTTGTAAAGAATTAAACGATTTCAAGTAGGTTTTTTATTGATAATGTTTCACGCAATGAAGGATTGTTGGGACCTTATTTCACAAGTTTGTAATTGGTTGTGTATCACATTTACCAAGATGTTTTCAAGAAACAAACACAATGTTTGACCAAAGTCTCTTTAAGTGTAAAATCATTCTTGACTATTGGATTTCATAAAATTTATTGTTTAATCGTATTATGATTGATTTTAACAAATCGAATATACCATAAACTTTTTCTTATTCAAAACAGAAAAAGGCTCCAAGACGTACAGATTATTGTGATGTATGTGAACAAACATTTCAAAATGGTCGTCACTTTTATGCTCATCTAAAGTGGAAAAAGCATAAACGTCTTTGTAGAGTTGCTAGACTTTTAAGAGCACAACTGAAAAAGACACCGGAAGAAGTTGCTAATGATCCATTGGGTTCATTCACATTATATATGAATAAAGGTAAGTCCCTTATCCTCGAAAATAGTAAGTTTTTGTTTTTTAAGGAGCAAACTATTACTGTTTTTATTGAATGTCGTGCATGTTCGTTGCTTAAGACTAACTTAAGATCTAATTTAACCATTTCTCATATACTTGTTCAGTCTGTAAGTATTACTGTAAATGTTACACTAGTCTACACAGTATTGAATTCAGTTACACAGCCTTACTGTAGAATCTCACCATTCGATGTCTGTTGACTTTTATTTTATTGGATCACTTCAAGTTGTTTGCCATCGAATTTCATTCGAAATCCTTTCAGCCACCGTGTGATTCAAATCTACAAACTATGCCTCAGAGACAATTTTGTGGCCTGTAAGCATATCAGACTAATATAAAATTTCCAGTATTGGCATTTTTCACGTTTTCTTTTTATGAACTGATAAATATCCGTAAAAAAGATGACTGTAATATTTGATTTAACTCTTATTCTCAAATATTTGAAAAAAATCATCTGACGTGCAGAGTTTGTCCGTGTAGTAAAATCAGTTTATGTCGTTACTCTTAGTTTGTTCATAAACTTTGTTGATCATTATGTTATTGCAGTCAGTCATTTATCCTAAATTTTTGATTTTAAATTTCTTCCAGACTGCTCTGTTCCATATGGGAACTATGGAGACTGTAAGGAAGTCGAATTGGATGCTGGAAATGCATTTTTGCAAAAATTCCTCGACTTGAAACATTTAATCTCTCAAGAACCAAATCCAGTTGGCGAGGAATTTATTCAGGAGGTAGGTTGAATGTGAAAAACATTCACCGAAAACTTTGATTCTTGACTGCCTCACTGAATATCCTGGGTTACTTGAGATGATAATGATAATAATCATAATAATTGACCAAACGTCTAAAACCTTTTGATCAGTTATCGTGGGCTACTACAAAACCTTTACAGAGTTGCTTCAAAGTGACTTGCATTGTCTAGCTTGTAATCATTACATCCACACACACAGAGATAGACTTTATAGTTAGTTGTAAAACCTACCAATCTTACCAACTTTTCTTATTTATTATTAGAGAATCTTTGGTCATCCGCGCATTTATGTGTTGGATTAATGTGTCCTTCCATTCAACAACAGAGAAAAAGCGTTAATCTGTGTAAAAGTAATGTTATTTTAAAAAATATACATATATAAATGTATAGTAACATAGAAACTTAGTATCATTTACAAATATTAACATTCTGTATCGATAAAACATTGGATCAGTTCATGTACATGTGAAGGTGTGTGTGGCTGTCAAAATGTTAAACTCCTCTCTGTCTCTCTCTCCCTCTCTCTTTCTTCATGAGATTGTGGTGTAAGTAACAATTTATGCACAGACAACTTTGAATATTCAGGTAAGTCACCTTTTTCAGAAAGAAAAAAATTAGCAAATAAAAGTTTTTACTTAGTATTTTTGTTTTAACAACAGAGTCTTCCAAAGTTGCAGTCCCATTCTCCTTTTCTTTAAGATTAAAAATCTAGTCATTAAAAACAAACAAATCAGTATAATTATATGAATAGCGAAAACGTTCAGTCATTAGCATGGGTTTTAAAAATCACTATCCCTAACAAAATAAAACTCAATTCATCATAGCTAAAGTGTTTATTTGTTAGTTTGTGGGATAATGCAATTGTTTCTTTTGTAATCATTTGTATTTCATAAAGAAGATAAACCTCAATTAAGTCGTCAGCATAAAAATGTTTCTTGATTCATTCAATATATTACTTACTTACGCCTGTTACTCCCAATGGAGCATAGGCCGCCGACCAGTATTCTCCAACCCACTCTGTCCTGGGCCTTCCTTTCTAGTTCTATCCAACATTTGTTCATTCTTCTCATGTCTGTCTCTATTTCTCGGCGTAATGTGTTCTTTAGTATTCCTCTTCTCCTTTGGCCTTCAGGATTCCATGTGAGGGCTTGTCTTGTGACGCAGTTGGGTGATTTCCTCAAAGAGTGTCCTATCCACTTCTAGCTCATCTTCCTGATTTCTCCCTCCGTTGGAATCTGTGTAGACAACTGTTGATAAGCACTTGTATCTTCTGGATGATGGCTTTCGTAGTTCTCCACGTCTCCGCCCCATACAGTAGAACTGTATTTATTATTTATTTATTTAAACACATAAATATTGGTACAAAAAAGCACCACATAAATATGCGTCCCACAAATCTCATTCGATTTGTGTGAGGGCTGTGATACTGCCCAGGTGCCCAGACTGAAGCAGGTGGTTTTCTTAGGGGCCCACACCCAGAGCCTTTGACCTAAAAGTCTGATCCACAAGGCAGTGGAGCATCGTGAGGAGATGCAGTCCCATGGTAGCCGGTGATCAATGATTGATTCGTACGCCATTTGTTCCCTCAGGATACTGGAGCCCATGTGCGCCATTGGTTTGGAATGAGGGTTTTCCAACTCCCCTAGGTGGATCCTCCACATCCACCAACCCGGTTAAAGCGCCAGACATTCGCTTTTCGTCCTCTCAATTTCGTAAACAACACTCGTGGTGCGAGAAGGGAGTGAGTAGGACTTCCCTGGCAGAGGCTATATACGTTTGGCCTTGTGATAGCATTTCGAGAGGGAGAGCAGTCTCTCCCCACTCTCGGCCGTACCAGGGCACAGTAGAACTGTCTTGACATTTCTATTGAAAATTCTAACCTTGGTGTTGGTTGACAATTGTTTCGAGTTCCACATATTATTCAGTCGTAAATATGCTGCTCTTGCTTTGCCGATTCTCACCCTCACATCTGCATGAGATCGACCGTATTTATTAATGATGCTGCCCAGATATGTAAAGGTTTCCACATTCTTCAAAGTTTCTCCGTCAAGTGTAGTTTGATTGGTGCATGCTGTGTTGCATCAAACAATTTTGCTTTTCCCTTTGTTTATATTGAGACCTGATGCTGCTACACTGATCGTTTTCTCCTGCATTTGTTGTTGCGTGTGTGATAGAAGAGCCAGATCATCTGCGAAGTCTAGATCGTCCAGCTGCATCCCAGCTGTCCACTGTATCCCGTGCTTTCCTCTAGATGTTGACGTCTTCATGATCCAGTCGATCACTAGGAGAAAGAGAAAGTGTGAATGTAAGCAATCTTGCCTAACACCGATTTTTACCTCGAATGAGTCGGTGAGTTGTCCTCGATGGACGATTTGGCAGTTCCGTATGATATGGTCATTCAATATATATTTTTCATTATTAATTTCTAGCTTATATTCTGTTCAATTCTTCTAAGTAGTATTCGTAGTAATATAATGAACGAAAACTCGTGTGGAAGACTGATTTATTGTTTAATGCATAATTATTCACTGCCTTCGTAAAATATGAAAACTATACACTAAATACATTATTTGCATATCTTCGTTCAGTCTTCCTTTACGTACTTTATAATATTCTTAATTCTGTTGTTATTACAATTATTATTTGTTTACGTTTCTGTTCTCTTCAATTCAATCTTCTGCAAGCATTCCACTTCTGATTGGTGTTACATATTACTTAATAATGATTTTTTTCTTATTGAAGGAATTATCTTTGGTCTGATTTTTACCTAAAACCTAACACCATGCTACTGTATCCATTAGAGTATTCGCTTTCAGTAATTTCTGTAGGAATAATCAACTGTATATGGTTATGCTTACGTCTCTGTAGAAGATAATTGCTCCACATCTTTTGTACCACTGTTAATAAATAGATTTGTATCCCCCTACCCCACCCCCACAACCTATTGCTTATCTCCTATTCTTTTTAGCAAGTATACAATACCAGAGATTTGGAATATAGCTGTTCACTTTGTAAAGCGGATTTAGTTGGAGCTGATGATATAGAAAATCATCTACGTACTCTTACACATCAAAAGAAATATAAAGAGAAATTTAACTTGGAGGAATTTGCATTTGAAGAAGAAATGAGATTGTCTGCATCTGATTCGGTTTTTGCTGTATGGAAAACATGTCAATCCAGAGCTAGTAAAGTGAGCCAGTTTCTCATTTATCGATCTCACTATTCATTTTGTATTGTATTCTATTAATCAATATGTAGGTTATTGGTTGTTGATTTCATGAACTACTGATTCGAGTTAGACAGACATCTATTAATAAATAAGAAGCATTGGATGGTTCTTTTGTCCTATTATGGGATTCTTCAGCACTGTGCACATTCACTACCCTGTCGAGGACCAGATCCGGGAGTTTAGGTCCCACTCATGAACGTTTGACCGTTAGATCACTTCTTTCAGTACTTCCTGGTTTTTAGTGCATGTCTAACTTAAGTTGGTTGATGATATCAGTAATGGATTGTATTTATTAGTCTGTTAGTTTAACAGTTTTATTCTTTGCTAACAGTTGTGTTTTATCCATAAACATGTGAATGTCATAATAACAATAAAATTTACAGGAAATGGATCTATCCATAATTCTTCTTTTCTTTTGTCTAAAAAACACTTTAAAGACAATTTTGTTTTTCTGTTTACTTTCATTTCATTGAAACTAAACTACTTATGTGTTGAACTGTTGTACTGATTATAATGATACAAAAGATTCACTTCAATTTTTATAACATCGATACACAAGGAGACTATCAGTACAACAAATTGACAATAATCTATTCATAAAAACTGGTTGTTTTTCTTGTTAAATGTGTTGATAGACTGTAGTTTTTAACGTAATCTTACTGTTCATTTTCTATTAATAGGAATTAGCAAGAATTATCGGAGAAAAAGGTTTTCATCTATGTGTTTGTGGTTTCCGTATTACTTGCTATGATGATATGCGAAAACACTTTCCAATTAAATATTATGATATTCATCCACGAATTCGTTCATGGAAGAAAAGTTTGGAAAAATGTATTCGATCTCGTGCTGATCGTCATAGGATTGACTATAGAGATTGTTACGTAAGTTATCAATGACAAGCATTATTCTTACTATTATTATTATTGTTATTAGCTTTACTCACCATTATATTTTTTGGTACAACATAGAATTCTCAGCACAAAGTATTTCAACAAGTTCCCATTTCTTACTTGGTCGATCCTGACGACAAACATTGAGGGGTTGCCAGCTATAAGTTAGCAGTCCAGGAATCAGCATCGAAATAATGTACATTCTTTTCGCTTCACGTTTCCGGCAACCGCGTTATCTCTGACCGGGCTTGTTTTGCAGCTTGTACAGAGGAAGGTTGTTATAAGTTTTGTTGATTGAATGCTATACTCGGGTCCTAAGCTATTCTCGTGATCCCCAAGCTAAATCTACACAGCAACTTGAACACGAACGAAAAGGCGCAAAATATGCGAGAAGTACTTTACTCCAAAGGTTCATTTATGTATAGAAAATATAGAGTTTTTATAGTATTTTAAAAGTCCTTGTGTTTTCCTGAACATTCTAGAATGTTACTAAACGTAGTAGCAGTGTAGTAATCAGTCAATCAGAAACTCTACATGTGACTTGTTACAAATTGCGTGATTTTTCTTGATAAAGATTTTGAGTACATTATACAGTTTTCAATAACAAAAGGATATATTTCTCATTAGAGAGGTCATCAATAAATAAATACTATGTTATGCTATAAAAATATCAAGATAAGCATCGAATGAGTATTAATTGTAGCGTTGATCGAAAGAAAAAAATCGATGTCTCTATATTCAATGAACGACAATTGTTCTCCCTGAATAACATCATGATTGTGTTTAGAGAAACTGATATTTCTCGCATTTGTGTTCATTTCATATAACTTATATCTAGGTTAGTATAAAGATTATTTCATTATTCAGTTAGAATAAATTTTCCATTTGTTGTTTTCTGAGATCACATTTTCTCAGTGGTTTACACAATACTTCTAACGGTTGATAAAATGCTGTCTACCTTTTCAGACTATTCTAACTTTATTTGGACTCCCCAGTCACGTTATTGATATGAAAAGAGAACATGCTTTAGAAACTGCCAAAGCTAAATTGTTAGAAGACTCTACAAAAGAAGAGTCTGCAACGGATGCTCGTAAAGATGGTGAAGAAGATGATGAGGAAGAAAATGACGATGAAGAAGAGGAAGAGGAAGAAGAACGAAAGTCAGTCAAAGAAGATGAACATCCTAAAAACTCTACATCAAATACAGAGTGTGTTGGGGATGCACATGCGGAATCGTCGTAGGATATCTTCTCGTTAAATGTTATACATTGGTTGTAAAATTCATTAAAATGGTTATTTGGAGAACAAATTTCGTTCTCGCTTTTATCAGTGCTATGTAAGACAATGACCGGTCTTATTTTTGCTCGTTTTGTCTATTAAATGTTTTCATTTCACTTACTCTTTCGTCAAACACTATCATCTTGTCTCATTTTTTCGATGCATAAATAATATCCTTTTTAATGCATCATCAAATCTACATTTCTAAATTACTCCCGTTTTTGTTTTTATGCATTTGTCATACGTTTAAGAGTAGGTTGTCTTTTTTTCTTACTTAATTGGGATTGTTTGAATTTATCCAATCGCATTTGATATGTACCAATTTTCCAATGCTTTCAAAACCTTAGTAGTGTGACCATGCCCATAAGTTCCTGCAGCATCCATTTTCTGTTGTTATTATTAATATCACTTATGCACGCTACTCTTGCTATTTCAGTTTTACTAGGGTTAGTCAAGTTATATCTTCGGATCTTCTATGCTTCTTGGTGGTCATCATACCTATAAGTAGGTCATATCTTTAAGATTTAAGAAATTCCTACACATCGAATCAGAACAAGATTGTCCTCAAGTAGTACACTTGTCATTGCACTATCGATTTGTACTTTCTACTCATTCTTATTTAGTCCATTCCACTGACGCATAAACTACTGTGATTGGTTTACAAATGTTATCGTATATGAAAGCCTGATGAGTCTTAATAAAGACAATATCCGCTCATGTATGTTGTTCTAATTCATAACTGCTTGAAAATTCTAAAAAAATTATCCGAAGTCAAGTGTCTTCTGCAGGTTCGCTTATTTTTGACTTCACCAATTGATCGCAAGCCGGATACTATTTCTGTCTACTGAATTCATCCTCAATGTAAAGCGAATTTCAAGCTTTAATTGCTTCGACAATAACCAAAGTTAATAAACCCATTTGGGCTATCCTGTTGCTTGTTTACTGGGCACTAGTTGTACATTCGTCACCTGGTTAGGATGCAACGCGTGGCTGCTACTGATTGAAAAACCGTCTAGCTTAGTAGTGTATTTGTCATATATTCCTTTTACATGGTTAGATTCGTGGTGTATTGGATGCACTGCAAGAAAATCACAAATCTAAGAGATTTAACTTCCTTGCTTATCAGTCGAGATGTGTTCACGTCACCAGTGACTCGAATGGTTCCTTTTTGCTAAACAAAATATATAACCGGGTTATGCATCGTAGTGTCCAGTACGATGTAAAGCTCATAGGGTTATTCTAGCTCCCGGACAGATACATTTATTGATTATTCATGAGTCCCATTTTGACTTGATAAATTATTAGCTCATCAGCATTGGCTTTTTATGTAAGCGAATGTGTGTAAATCGCTCACCATATTTAGCTTATTTCTGTTTGACTATATCGAGTCACGCATGGTCAAATTGAGTTTACTCATTCGGCTTCACTGCATCTCGCTTTCATTCTTGCATATTCTGAATCTCTATCGGCTTAAATGAATGTTGAAATAAATTCCTCAACAACATCCGTGTTTGGCTTCTTATTACAGTCGTCATACAAACGGAGTTAGCCTAGGTGATATACGGGGTTAAGTGGGAGGTCTATGTTAATACGTTCATTTGAACTGGAGCAAGGTCAGTCAACACCTCAACATTTTGCTCGGTAAGATAAGAGTGTTTTAATATCACCGATATACCGTAGCTCTCACTTGAACATTAAATATCTGTGCTTTGTCTCCATTTTATTCAGACATGATCTTCCGAACGCTCGTCATTCCTGCCGTTGTTGTTCAAGGGTAGTTGGCCCTTACATTTCGTATTTGTAAACGTAGCTCCACCCAATATCTAATCCCGATTTTTTTATTTTTCAACTCAGGTAACTGAAGCATGAACACCCTTATAAAATCCGATTACTGGTAAAGTAGAGTGGGTGGGTTTATTACACCTAAGAATGACGTGTTGATCACCGTGTAAAACAGTGATTGACTATCGCCATTGCAAATAGACTGGTGGAGGTAACTCTACGTCTTTAGACGGGTACCATTGCGACAATATTTGTAGACTGATTATCAGCTTTCTAAAATATCTGAATATCGTGGTTCACCGAAGCGATAGTCTCTATCAATTTTTTTCTTATACATATGAAACCATAGCAGATATGCATTCGGGCATGTATGTTCGATCTGTAGTCGCCATTCACTGGAGATTAACAAGAATGACACTGCAGCTTAACTTGGATGATCCTGAGTCGAGATCAAACTATGGATTGGTCTCTTTGTTTCCCTCACCTCTACCTAGGCTTTACTGCTTCCTTAGCAAACTTAAAGTATGGATAGATTCATCAGATCGGTAATTTGTTCACATATTTACGATGTGTATGATAAGCAACCTATTTCTCTGATAACTCGGTTCCATTGAACCTACTGACAAGTGATCAATGAATTCTAGTAAACTATTCAATATCCAACGATTTGTTTTTCTTGTTAGGGCACGCCTGACTTTTTAGATAATGTTTTAGAACTCTCTATCGCTACAGGCGCTGAACAAATAAGGCAGCTGGGTTAAACATATCTGTATTTGTCATAAAAAGAGAATACTTCTGATGGCAAAGTAATCTAAAATCTAGTAATTTTCTAAACTACTATGGGTTACACTCTCCATTAATTTCAATCTATGGGTAAGTTATCATTGAACTGCTTACATGGAAGCTTAGCACGTCTAATGCTGTGAATAGTACTTGTTTCACGAACGAAAGACTCTTGTTAAACTATTGATCTGTAAGTGTGACTAGTTCAGTCTGCGATCCATTATCTTTGTGGTTAGTTAGTTTAATCTAGCTAGATCATTACCGTTCACGTTTTGGCACTAATCCATGGTTCTAAGACTTACAATTATAAAACGTACCCTGTACGTTTCTTACACACTAGCTTGTGGTATAACTAACACAGCACAGTGATGATGCTCAGCCGCATAGGTACTAAGATCCCTGATCAATAATCGAACTGATCATATAGAAGCACGTGGTGCACTGTCTACAGAGCAACAACTGTTTGGTAATGACCATTAAATCTTGGTGACCTTCCTAATGTGATAGAGGACCAGTCGGCAGCTGAAGATAGCGCTTTTCTCGTTGACTTAACACTTACAAACTTGAGTAAAGAAGTGGAGGAAATGTCTCATGCAGTAATTATTCAGACACATTTTAACCTAATGATTTTTGTAATGGTATAAATTTGGGTTGCAGACTTTCTATCCGTTTGAATACAAAAATAGGCTAAGCTTTTTGCTACCTGGATGGAACCCTGTGAGAAGTGATGTACAGTAAATTATGATATTACAATCTGTTGAAAAAAAAATAATTGCAATGCCTACGTGCGATGGTCGAAATATCGATGATGTTCTGAGAGTACTCTAACTGTCCGTTTGTCAATGAACTAAATACAGGAACGGACAATTTATAAAAATCATGATAATAATAATTCTCAATAGACGTAAGTTACATGATGCATGAAAATTCACTGACAAGATCAGATTGCCATAAATGTTATGAAATTTACTACGTCAAACTACTATAACCATTTTCTTTGGCTTGTTATAACAAAAGTTTTACTGTTGAAGAGAGATTTTGGTATATAAAGTCTGTTGTTGGATCAAGGTTAAACTGTACAGTTTAGAAGATGGAGGGCCATATAAACTCCTGTGTTGCAAGGCAAAAGTGTTGGTAGCAAATACTTTATGCGACATACATCGTATAAAACCAACGGGATTTCGTATATATTTTGGTATTTGTTTGTTACTGATCTCTAGGTAGTCGCTATACAGGACTTATTGTAGAAGGAACTTCGGAAGTACGGAGTAAGGTGTGATTTGAAGTCATGTTCTTGATAGGTAACTTAGATATTAAATTACGATAATGTATTCAATGTTTACAGATGTGACATTCTGAGCACTTTTTTCTTTCATTTTGATTATTCGCATGGAGTTGAAGGGAGCACTGTCGTCATTTCTTGTGAAGTTGGGTTGATCGAAGCTGGTGCCAATACCAACGATTTCTGGAGGTACAACAGCTCAGGTATATGATTGTTGGGGATGTACAACCAAAGTAATATCCTATATTTAGGTATCGAGAAACTTTCCACAATTCAGTTAGACTTGGGAGACCAGGATCACTGAGTTCAGCATCCAGCTTGTAGTCAATCGTTATCGAATTATGTCTAAACAACTAACGAAATTGAAAAAAGCCAAATGTCTGAGGTTCTCAATAGTATCAGTATGAAACCACTGGCCGTTAATTTACTATCCGTTTAGAGTCACTTTTAATAAACTGTTGGACTTACTCTGATCTTCTGTACTTTTACGTAAATATAGTGTAGTAGTATAGGTAATGATGTGTAGTGATTTTGACATTATTTTTCAGGATGATTTAAGTTTACTCAATAACCAGTACAGTAGTTAGAAATTGGTTGTGGTCAGATTTCAGTAATCCCTATCAATGGCTAAAGATATAATTAGTTTTTAGATTAAAAAAAGCTAACTGATAACTTCAAATAATGGTTTGGAAATTGTTGTACACAATGAAAATATCATGATAAGACAAGATCGAGGTAAACTGGTATAAATACCTAGAAAATAAGAGAAACTTTAAATACGCTGTGTCGCTGAATGGAGTGGAGGCCTCATCGGGGCTCATTTAGCTAGGTAGATCAATGGGAAAGAAGTGCTTTTCAATAACGTCCAGTTGTTTACAGAGTAAGTACTCCTAGGAGTCATTTATCCCCTACGACAACATTAGGGTTTCTATTTTTGTGGTCACTACGTGGAGCCTTTTCTTCCATTGATAAAGAGGGTGACCGTGATTTCACGCAACCTCTTGATCAGTATATGAGCTGCAGTATCCAGTCCATATTTTACTGTAGATGTATCGAATCTAGTGGGTGTAAAAAAGCGACTCCAGATTCTTTTACTCGATAATATATTTATAATTAAAGGTTGTCAGATATGAAGATATCGAATCATTAGAAGTAAAAGTGACACAAGTATTTGGAGTCTGACAACGCCTTTACATGTAGCATTTTGATAATACGAGTATGTTGACCCAGTCAAATCAAAAGTCAGAAGTGGAGAGTTTCAAAGCTATATTTGAAAAAATATCGATATCTGGAGAAAGGTTGGATCTATGCTGGCTAAAGGTTGTAGAAGATGTGTTTCACGGTGTACACACTCGTAATCTGGTATGGATATGTGATCAAGAATCTTTGGTTAGATGAGCCCAGAAAAACTAATGCGGTCATGTGGTGTTTATTTTAACCAATGATTCCTTTATACTTGTTGACTGCTTGATTTCAAATTTCAATTACAATACATTCGTTTGTGCTCATCTAGTAATTTCTGATTAAATTGCATTATTACTGGGGTTCCTAGTTTATACTCCCTCTTATCACAAGTCAGAATAAAATGTCGAAGACCTACAGAACTATTTATCTCGTGGATTTATTAGCCGCTTCAAAACAAAATTATTGCCCCAATTTATGACAAAGAGCATCGTAACCCTTTGAAAATTCACTAAAGTTAAAGATAGTGTTTGGGTTAACTCTTTTCTTTATCAGAACTCCTGTCCCAGACAAGTGGCACAGTCAAGAAATGATAGAGGTTGTTGGTCATAATTGAGTGGATTTTTGTTGTCCTTGATGAGAGCGAAGATTGTAATAGGTTGTGATGAGACTTAGTGAGAGGTGACTCAATCAGTCAAATGTACATTGATTCACCTCACCATAAGGTTTCTGTACTTATCAGTAGAATAAAAATAATAAGGTATCCCGTCGCCTAAATTTCAGCCGACAACCCACTGTTTCATACGTTTCTCTTATATTGGCCGCACCGACTTAATTGTCCCACTTTAAACAACGGTTTATTTATCCCTAATATCTGGATTTTTAGGACTTGCGATTACTCTATCTGAAATACCCTCGTTTTTGTCTTTCAGATGGGTGTTTTGCAGATGGTTGAATAATACATTTGGCCCCTTACTGCCTTCCGTCATCCCTCAACGATTTCACCATAACTTCTGAGAATTATTCGTTTTCATTAGGGGTGTAGCTGTAAATAATTCCCCAAAATCAATAGCTCATTAAGTGTTCGACATTGGATGCTGACCACGTTGTTTAAGTGGACTTGTTTAGCTGAAGGCTTTCGGTCATGCATCCGCACCAGATCACGTTTCAATACTGCGTGGGACACAGCTCCTACGTTTCATTAGCCAGCTCATAGAAAAGGTCCTCGATATATTGGTAACGAATCAAATATATCTTTCCAGCCTATTCTCGTCCGACTTCTGATTTCTATCTGACTGGGAACAACCGAATTTAGAAGGTGCTACTGGTATCTAGTTGTAAAACTAGAATATCCGTTGCATCATCATTGGTGAACCCGACGTGATCTGGTACACCAAGTCAATATACTGTGAGTCTGTTCCATTTTGGAATATTATTATTTATTGTTATTCTTTATTTGAATTTTATATATTGTGATATACCTTTTTTTTCTCGGATATATTTTACTTAGACATTTTTCGATATCTATATTACTATGACGGAACACTCTCCTAAGGTTCTTAAGTTAAAGTCTATTCCCCCTATTTCGATTCAGTTAACGCCATTTTGGCCCGACAATATCGAGTCCTGGTTCTGCTATGCAGAAGCCGATTTTTGCATGCACGGAATCACGGACTCGCGCACACATTTCCTCGCGGTAGTTAAGGCGTTACCGCGCGAGTTTAACAGGTACGTAACACCTAGTATGTTTACTAGTGATGTTTCCGAACCTTACGAATCGCTTAAGCTATCGATTTTAAAACGAGGAGACCTAACTGATCGACAACGGTTAGACCAACTCCTTAACAATATCGACTTGCAACATGGTTCTGCGACGGACATGTTGCTTAGAATGAGAGAAGTCATCGGCCAACGAACTTTCGATGATGGCCTATTTAGACAACTTTTCTTGTCTAAACTCCCTCAACAGGTGCAGGCAGTGCTTGTTTCATTTCAAAACAATGCCATAGATGAACTAGCTGCATCTGCCGATCGAATCTTGGAAATCACTAGATCTTCTAAGGCCGAGGTTTTTTCCGTCAAAGAAAAACCCCAATCGACCTCGACTGACATGGCCGAACTATGTCACACGCTTACACGATATCTTAGAGTTCGCAATGACCGTAGTCGGTCAAAAAACCCGCGTAGAAGTGCCTCACGTAAGCGATCTGGCTCTCGACCACGAGAGACAGACAATCCCGACTGGTGCTGGTATCATAACCAGTACGGTAAGTTTTCCAGAAATTGCAGGAAACCTTGTAATTATCCGACCCCAAAATCGAGTGACACGAAAAACAGTTCGGGAAACTTCCCAGCCGGCACGAGTTAACGGCAACCGTAGCCGGCGAACACAGCCGCCTCTTATATGTCACGGATGTGACTACGAAAGTTCGCTACCTCGTCGACACTGGCGCAGAAGTTAGCGTTCTTCCAGCAAATCTCGACGACAGACTTCGCGAGTCTGTTTTAAGTTTACAGGCGGCAAACGGAAAGCCGATCGCTACTTACGGTAAAAGGTACGTCTACCTTAACGTGGGTTTACGTAAACCCATACACTGGATTTTCGTGGTTGCAGATGTCTCTATGCCAATCATTGGTATTGACCTGTTACAACACCACAATCTACTCATCGACACACGCTCACGAAGGTTAATAGACGGAAACACTAAGTTGTCCGTTTGCGTAACTCCTTGTTCTGGTTGCAGGTTATCCCCAGTCACGATTAAGCACGCCATAGACCCCTTGTACCAAGCAGTACTCGACGAATACCCCGGGATATACCAATCGCAATCGAAATTACCTTGTGTAACCAGCAATGTTACACATCACATCTCGACTACAGGACCACCTGTATTTTCGAAAGCCCGAAGACTCGCTCCCGAAAAACTTAGGTTAGCTAAAAACGAATTCAACCACATGATGGACCTAGGAATAATTCGACCATCGAATAGTCCATGGGCATCCCCATTGCACATGGTCCCTAAAAAGGACAACAATGATTGGCGGCCAACTGGTGATTATCGGCGTCTGAATGCTAAAACCATTCCCGATCGTTACCCGCTGCCTCATATTCACGATTTGATAGCTACCTTGAAAGGTACAACTGTCTTTTCGAAAATCGACTTGGTTAAAGCTTATAACCAAATCCCGATGGCACCTGACGACATTCCTAAAACCGCCATCATCACTCCCTTCGGTCTTTACGAATTTCTACGAATGCCCTTTGGTTTAAGAAACGCGGCTCAAACCTTCCAAAGGTTTATAGACGACGTCTTCCGAGGTCTCAACTTCGTGCATGCGTATGTTGATGACTGTCTAATAGCAAGTCCGGACAAACAATCGCATCTCAAGCATCTGGACATTGTTTTCGATCGACTCCAAAGGCATGGCATTACTGTCAACATTCAGAAATGCCAAATCGGAACTAACTGCTTAGACTTCTTAGGACACACTATTGATGCTCAAGGCATCCGACCACTTAGGAGCAAAGTGGCGGCCATTCTGGATTACCCAGAACCGACCACGATCAAGCAGTTACGAACTTTCAACGGATTCGTAAGTTTCTATAGACGGTTCATACCTAAATGCGCATCCCTAATGAAACCGTTAACCGATCAGCTTCGTGGAAATGCGAAATCAATTAGTTTAGACGACATAGCTCGTAAAGCATTTTCCACAGTTAAGGAACACATCGCTAAAGCAACCTTGCTTGCTCATCAGGACAGTCAAGCGCCCATTAGTATCGCCGTAGACGCATCCGACTCAGCAATCGGAGCAGTCTTACAACAATGGGTTAACAACTCGTGGCAACCTTTAGGATTTTTCTCGAGACGGTTGCTAGACGCTGAATCTAGGTACAGCACGTTCGGTAGGGAACTCCTAGCTATGTATTGTGCTGTACGGCATTTTCAACATTCCATCGAAGGAAGAGAATTCACGCTCTTTACCGATCACAAACCTCTTACCTTCTCTTTAAGTTCATCTTCAGACAAGTACTCACCAAGAGAGTCTCGACAACTCGACTACATTTCGCAGTTTACTTCAGACATACAACATATTTCTGGAGCAAACAATGTAGTCGCAGACGCCTTGTCTCGAATTAGCTCCTTGAACAGTTTCCAAGGAATCGACCTTCTTAAACTCGCTCAGCTTCAAAAAGAAGACATTGATCTTCAGCATGAGTTATCCTCGACAACTCTAAAACTAAGTATTAGGCAGATGGGAACAGGTAAGGAAACCTTACT